AGTTATTTTGATCTGGATGGAATCCAAAGACATGATCTGAAATTAAGTTTCGTAGTCTAACTTTTGATCGACACACCCAATCATATCTATGAAATCATGCCAATAATATGAAAAGTGCATATTATATTGGTAATTTAACGTTAAAGTAGTTTTATTCATACACTCCATTTCTGAAGCCTGAAATTAACAAGCGTGGTATTTGTTATAAGGCTACATGTCACTCAAACACGTTGTTAATTCTAGTAAAAAAAACCTTGACCTAACAGTCTTAAAACTGAATTATTCATACTAAGAAAAAATATTCCAAAGTTTATATGAATGGGCATATCCTTAAAGAAGCTCTCCATGAAATATCATCAACCTTGAAAGTATTACCACAGTACAGTAACAACCAGATCAAAATTTAGGTTAAACGATAGAACATGTCATGTTTTATCTCCAGTTTTTTACTTTGCTTGTTTGTATGTTTAATACCGTACCCTTGATTTTGTGTATATATATGTGCATGTATTGATGTTTCCGTTTTATGTAGAAAAGTTTTATTTGGCTTAATATCGATATAAATCTAGAGGTTATTCAATCCGAACAAAGAAACTTCAAAACTAAAAAAGCTTAACGTTTCTCAAATAGTTTTCCACTGATAAAACTGACTTTATTTTATTTGTCTAAAAATCTGGGAAAATTTGATAAGTTTGAAATATGTTACTGGCCATAATATTATATTTTGAGTTGGTTACTGTGTATTAGAGAATGAACTATTAATATATATTGAATAAAATACTAACAGTTTAGTGTAAATAAAATCCCTTGGCAAATGAGGACATTGATGGGACCATCCATTTATCTACCACATTCACATGGCTCGCATAGATACGGTAAATTATCTTTTCTATTTATAATATCTGATTTTGATAGATTTGACTATTCAAATGGTGAAATAGTACATTCAGAATTATTAGAAAAGCAAGCTGAAGTTTTCAAAAGAAAAAGAAATTACGCACAGTTACCGGTCTCTTCATAATTTTGAATAGCGGCATATCAATATACAGTTTCATAGATTTTTCATTTAATACATAATTTCTCATTAGACTAATGAGGCGACGCTAACAATACAAAGTGAATCTTTCACCACTCATGCATAGATACTTATTTTTAGAAGTAAGCATTTGTTATAATTTACATTTCATCGTAATCTTTTATTCATATCATGTGGTACTAGTTAATAACTGGCTCACAATCACATCTATAAATGAGTGAATATCTAGAAAACCAAATTTCAACATAAGCCTACATTGAATTCCAAGTATTAAAACAGCTTAAATAAATTCCAAGAAGGTGAACATAAAAATATTTGAATTCCATTTGTTGTTGGATATTATCAATTTGTATTATCTAAAGATCACAGCTTTCGATAACCTTTTTTATTTATACACTATAATTAAGAATAAGAATGGAAACAACAACAAAAAAATATCTTGTTTATTCCTTCTATTATATTAAGAAGCAAATAGTAGTTGTATTTCATTATACTATGTTATAATAATAAAGAATTCATGTTTCTCTTTACATACAATACCGTTAATTGACTTTCCTTAGTATTTTTACGTGTATTTCTGGCAGAGATTAAGCTACTTGCAATTAACATTTTTTCTGAGAGATTCTTTTAGTTTAATATGATCTTTAAAACAATATAAAACTTCTACAAGAACCTATGTTGCATATATTATTGAATAATATAGCTATAAGATGAAATTAATTGATTAACTTTTAAAGCAACCTTTTAAGTAAATGTTATTCTACTAACCTCATCAACTTGTTGAAATGGTTTTTTTAAACAAAAGTGATTCATGTTCGTCTCATTTATTGCTTAGAAACTAGGTCTATGTAGGTCTATATGAAATGGTGAAATAATCTGATGATAATAATATTGGATTATCCTGATAACATATAACTTATTTTATTACAATTGTTTCGTTGGTTTCTCCTTGAAGTAACTTCACGAAAAGTTCTATTTTCATAATTATAGAACATGGAATAAAATCAATGTTATTTCATTTAAACTGTCAAGCAACATTAATTATTCATGAAAAAAAAGGAAACAATACTCCTTTGTATTTATGCTATAATGTCAACGGCGTCATTTAAAATTGTATGTCAGATTTGATATTTACTACTGCATTAGGTATTTGTTCTTGTAATGAAGTATGTATATGTAGATATACACTAAGATTAATTAGATAGTCTTGATATTCAGCATATCTCAAAATTTTCTTCATATTGAAATACCTTAGACGTTAAAAGGATTTCGTCAATACTCATGAAAATGAAGATAATAAAATGTGGTAACACGCAGGTTTAAATATTTCATCAAGCATGTATTTCACCTATATAAGTATCCGTCTCATCGAAATATCTAAAAATGACACTTTTATTAGTATTAGCTTTAGAATATATTGGTTTACCAACATTTCGACTGAGTTTGTTAAGCATATGTGCATAGAATAAAAATTCAAACAAATCACTTAGTTTCTAAAATATGCCATTAACATTTATACGATTGTTTTGTAATTAGGAAAGTAAATCCGTAATTTTATCAAACGAAAATGTGTTAACCTGGTCAAGTGAGGACGAATGTTGTCTACGAAACAGAACTCCGAGAAACGTTGAATAACAACTAAGCGTATAGAATAACAATGAAACAGAAAAATCTTAAAACATTACTCTATAATGAGCTGTGAAGGGATTTCGTTTTCAAACCGAAAAAGGAAAGTTATCGACAGCAATGGTTTCATGGTCTTATGTGCAACAGAGGCTATTCATTATGAATATTGAATGACCCCAATCCACAGAATTCTGCCAGGGGTTATATCTTTGTCTATGAAACTCTCATCTGAATTCATGACACCCGGTAATTCTCCTTAAAAATAACCTTTATTACAACTTACCGCTACATAATATTGCGAAGTTATTCAGCCTTCTAAGCAGAAATTTTAAGACTTTAAAAGTCGTTATTCTGTGATCTTTATTTTTTAAGCCGAACTGATATTGCTTTTGAAAAGAACATACCATATTTCAGTCATCTAGTCTACCTATGTTTACGTAAGATAAATAGGAGCTAGGATACACATTTGTTTTTTGAGCTAAATAAATCTATTTCCTTATTTTGCAGAACTCTCCAAGACCACTAAATATAAGTGATGAGATGATTTCAACTACAAGTCCTCTGATAGTCAACTTACTACTTGCGACATAAATATAACTAGTCGAGGTATATTAAGGTATAATGGCAATGTAAATGGACCTCTCTAGCATTCTGATCCTTTTTCTAGGGGTATCCACAGCATCTTCAACTATAAATATCTTAATATCCTAATATCTTGTTAATTATATGCTTTGAAAGTTTTGAAGACTTATTAACGTCTTCTTTCCTAATCAAGAATATGAGTGAAAGTTGCGTATTTCATGAGAAATATTATGGTCAAACAAACAGAAAGGTGATCGGATTCAACCTCATAGCTCGAAGATTTCGTGGTTGGACGATCAGAAAACAATAAAACAAAGCCAAATATTTACCCTTTGTATCATTACAAACAAAATACCTATGGTATACAGTTCATAATGACTATAGGCTAAATGACAGGCATTGTTGATTCAGTGCTCAAAAATGCAAAAATGCATATATATATCTCTTACTATTATACAGTTAGTTCATTATTTGTTGAGCTCCCTTTGTCGACTGACTCATCGGAGACATTATTATTAGCTTCAGCTTAACTACATATGTTTTTAGTTTGAACTAGGTCTTTCTGATCAATTAACAATTCTGAATCAATATTCTACCACGAGAATAATTCATATAAATATTTAAGATAGTTTTCAATAAGCAAGTTTGTTTGTTTTCTGTAATCTGTTAGTCTCCCCTAAGTTCACAAATTCAAGAACAACAATGAAACCGCCATTTTACTGAGCTGCTGGAATAATGATGAGGTAAAAATTGTAGAAATAAAACAGACACAAAGCTGTAAACAGTTTTGAAATTTTCATTAGTTTCAGGACTTGATTTCTGTGCTGATGTGTATTGGTCGAAACTACTATTCGAACATTACCACTTGAAATTTTGAGGAGCAATGAACATTCTTTGTGAAGAACCTCGTACCTAACAGCTCAGTATTTAAATGGTAACAAAACGTTGCTTTGTTGGGTTATCACTTTATATGTAACGAGTTTTGTTGACTTCGTTTCACCAACTAAGTTTTATGGATAACATATCATTTTCAGAAACTCCTTATATGCTTATAACATTTTGGTTACATGAACCTGATTTTCTTAAGAATTTGTTCCATTTTAGAAAAAAACAAAGTAATTTTGAAATGATTATGTTTTCATCTACAGTTAAATCTCATAAGTATTTTTAAAACTGTCTGACTCAGGTACTCAAAAAACAGCTCATTAGTATTTCAGCTCATCCTAGTAAGTAACTGCTGGAGTATAAGAAACATTGGCATGTTTTTATGTGACATGTTAATCATAATCTGTATTACGAAAATCATTATTATCCTTCTTTTGTCAAATTAGATATTTCGCAAAAACACCAGGTACTAACTTGAGTTATCAATAGATATTGCAAAAATACCAACGACGGATTATCGAGTAAACGTTTCACCATTGTCTCATTCGAAAAAAACAAACTATTACATTGGTAGTATAACAAATAAAAATCAGCGGATACTATACAGCTATTTTGTTTAATGGCTTGATCTACACACTAACCAACTATTAGAGATATCTGTTTCGTATGTAATGACTTGCTATTTTAGCGATTTGTTAAGAAGTGTCAAAGTGTTTATATTAACAGAACATTTTTTTAGCTTTAAGTAACAAGTTATACGTTAACACTTCATTTGTAAATTAATGCAAATTCAGATCTCTGTAATCTTAACATTTTCTGATGGAAATTTCAATATGAAAAGATACTTTTACTAGATAAGACGATTACTTACATGAATCCCAGACTGCCAATTAAATAATCTCCATATTAAACATGGCAAATTAAATAAAAATGCTTGTATCATTAGAATAAATGGAACCCATTGATAATAATGAATTTTTCTATTTTCACGTTCTGATATATTTTCGGGAATATTAATATCCTGAGTAGGTATAAAATATGTGCTTGTTACCCAACATACTGATTCAGCATATTCTTCTTGAGCGCGCGTAAATTCCGTTGGCACCCAACAGGCGATTGGTTTACCAATATACTGACGAGCCGATATGATAAGTGTAAAAATAATCAATAATAAAGAAGTAAACGTATGACTAAACCTGTCTGAAAAATCATCATCACGACGTAACTTTCCTGCATCTAGTTTAAATTTTGTAAGTCCAGCAAAAAAGTGGGTATCCATAGTAGGATCACTTGTGAAGGTGGATCTGGTATGTGATTTGAATTAGTGCGTCTAGTCCTATATCATTATAATGGGTAGGAATACTATTTTTATGAGAAGAAAGCGATTTGTACTCTTGGAACAATCGGTCGGGTGTGAAATAGTAAAATTATATTCTCCATGTTATATTCTCCAGTATTTGTTGAAAAAATGTGTTTTCATTGATTCAACTGGAGTTAATTCAATAGTGATGAGTTCACATGACCCTGTCCCAAACAAACCACATTATCTTGATTTAATTTAAAATAGGTATAATTCAGTTACTTCTTTATCATTGGGATGTTTTCCTGTATATTCTATACAGCATATAAATATAACTTGCTTAAAGGGGAAAATGTAATGAATGATATCATTTAATCGCTAAGTTAATGTATGATTGGTTGGTTTTATATTGGTTAGACATTCATAGCCTCAAGTGATTTGTTGATTGCAGTGAAGCTTAGTAACACGTTTACGTTATTAGTTTTGTTTTGTCTCTTCCTTCGACGTTGTGCACCCTTTTGCTTGTTCATTTAAAAAATTTTCATGTTCTGATATACAGATATATTTAATTAGATACAAAAATGTAGGTAATTACAGATGTAGATCTATAGTTCATTTAATGTGACCAGTTAAAGAACTTCTGTCCAATCTTCGGAAAAATACATATCTAATCGAGTCTAAGTATGATGAACACATATGATATATTTTCTGATAGACAAGACGATGATGAATTCATGAATTTCTATTATCCTTGGACATTAATATTTTGTTTAACTGACCTAGTAACGTTAATAATCTCCAGTACATCAGTTTATATTTGAGGAAAACGCTAACTGTTAGTATTAATGTAAAAATATCCAGAAAAACATTAAAATTCAAACATGTAGATAAGTGTTTAAGTAACCTCGATAATGTTGTACGCTGTATTCCTTCCTAAAATGCATCTGCTTTCTTTTAAGTTAATACTACAATGTATGCAGAATACAATTCAATGTGAACTTGATTTCCCTCTTATATTTATTTTATTGCCAACAGAACTCTGTACTATTACGTAATTAAGAAAAGTACTTTTGCAATTATTTACTAAAGAAACCAATTTTGAAACTTATTGTTTTACGGAATCCATAAGTAGTTTTGTCACTTTATCCCTTTCTTTTGTGTAAAAAACCTTACATAAGCAACAAAATTAATAACCCACAAATATTGAATGATATGTATTGTTAGTCAAGCGAGAAACTCAGTAATAAGTATCTTTAGAAGTGAAAATGTAATCTATAATAATTTCAACTCAGATTACTTCATAATATTACCAACATACATACTACCGTATTTACTACAGAGTCAAGAATTATCAATCATGATTTATAATTTCTGTAGACATATGAGATCAAACACTTAAAGTGAAGCAACAACCATTTAACAAAAACTGGCACTACCATTATTCTGATAATAACCTTTCATATGAACTCATCAAGTTTTTTTCATTATTGTTTGAAAATTATTATCTTTAAACGACATCATTATCACTGATATTATAGTGACTATCTTAATCGATCGTGAGTTTCAACTCTTATTTATCTACTAATTTTGACAGCAAGCAATTTTTATTTTGACCTACAGGATGAAATATTGATGAGGATTTTAGTAAATGATTCAGTGACCTTAAAAATGACAATTAATATATGCTTTCATGTTGTATGATTAGTGGAATCCATTATGTTATTAATGTTATTTAATATACTTGAATACATTGATTTTCGATACTATTAAAGGTGGCTTCTTCAAAGCTTGATGTCGTCTGAATACAAATGATTCTAGTATGGACCAAAGAATAAGCAATTATTCCAATATATGAATACATTTTAAAAAGCGTGTGACCCTACACTCTGCTACAGACCGTCTTATGTCAATTTTTAAGATATCGCATTGGAATTACTGAATACAGATATTCGATAAATATGAGAAGATATCTTTTCAGCACCCATAAAGTTTTAAGCAAAGCATGTGATCTTTGATAATAGTTTGAGAGTATGTCGAAGATACTTTTGATATAAAAGTGAATAAAGTCAAAAACTTATATCAGCTTGTGTTGTGATTACAGGTTATATTGCTAAACATTCTATCAAAAAAAATAACTCCTAAGTGTATCATGAAACTTTATCCTGTTATTTGATGCGTGTAGTTAGCTACATTGAAAACATCCAACCACTAGAGAAAACCTAAAATAACCGTGCTACCGACCGTTCTGACTTCGTGATAAATTGCAGGTAAATGGTCTAGACTCTTGACATTCAGTTTCCTACAGGTGTATGAGATAAATGATATTAAACTAGCCGGTCATTTAAAACAAATTACTGAATATTTAGCTTTACATAATAATAAAAACCCTGTTTTCAGTATTACTTACTTACCCATGTTACCCCTCATTTAGGAAGTTAGGCAGCTTATAAGCATTCTCCCTCCAACTCTGTTCTCGACAATCCTTTCCAGTTCTTTCCAGTTGTTATTCATTCATTTGATATCCGCTTTCAATTTCTAACACGATGTGTTCTTTGGTCTTCCACTTTTTTGTTTTCCTTCAGCATTCCAAGTTAGGGCTTGCCTCGTGATGCAGATTGATGTTTTCCGTAATGTATATTTTATCCACTTCCAAAGTCTTTTCATAATTTCCTCCTCAGCTGAATGTTGGTTTGTTCTCTCCCACAGTAGGCTGTTGCTGATGGTATCCGACCAATAATGGACATTGAGTATCTTGCGTAGACAATTGTTTGTAAATACTTGTACCTTTATGATGATAGTTGTAGTAGTTCTTCAAGTTTCAGCTCCATACATTAGAACCGTCTTGGCTTTCGTATTAAAGATTCTGACTTTGATACTGGTTGACAGTTGTTTTGAGTTCCATATGTTATTCACTTGTAGGAATGCTGTCCTTAATTTGCCAATCCTCGCCTTTACGTCTGCATCAGATCCTGCTTGTTCATCGATGATGCTGTCCAGGTACGTGAAACTCCACAGCTTCTCCATCAAGTGTGATTGGGATGATGTTCTCCGTGTTGTATTTGAGGATCTTGCTTTTTCCTTTGTGTATGTTGAGGCCTACTGCTGCAGAGGCTGCTGCTACACTGTTTTTGTCTTGACCTGCATTCGTTGATGTGTATGGGATAGAAGGGCCAGGTCATCTGCGGAATCCAAATCATCTAGTTGCATCCAACATGTCCATTTTATTACGTGCTTCCCGTCGGATGTCGAGGTCTTCGTAATCCAGTCAACCACCAGAAGGGAAAGGGGGAGAGTAAGCAGTCCTATCTGACACCACTGTTCACTCGGAATGCGTCTGTCAACTGTCTCCATGCACCACTTACTAGTGTAGTCCATCGAATCAATTCGGTATGATGTTGACGATCTTCTCAGGCACATCATACCGTTGAAGAACATTTCATAACGTCCTCCAATCCATTCTGCCAAATGCTTTCTCATAATCAAGGAAGTCGATTTATAGTGACGAGTCCCACTCAATTGATTGTTCCGTAGTATCGCAATTTGATATGTGCACGACCGATCTTTGCGGAATCCGGTCAGATCTCTTTCTAGTTGTCCTCCATAGTAGTTTCTTCTTCGTTCAGTAAATCTTGCAAGGCTCGGAACCTGTTGTTGAGAGCTTTATTGAATTCGTTGAGTTTGTCAGTATCAAGAAAGAAGTCTGTATTGGACCTGTGTAATGCTGTTTCCCCAGTTGTCTAGTGCTTCTTTAGCTTCAGTTCCATCTTGACAGCTATCAGCTAATGGTGATCTGAAGTTATGTTAACTCCTCTCCTGGTTCTCACCTCTTCTATTGACCTTATGAATTTTTCAGTGATACAGATGTGATATAACTGGTTCCGTTTGGTGTGGTCCGGTGAGGTCTATGTAGCTTTGTGTATGCGATTGTGTGAAAATATTGTGCCTCCATAACCAATTTGTTGAATCCAGATAGATTTGCAAAGCTCTCGCCATTCTCGTTCATATCTCCTAGTCCAAGTCGTCACATGATATCTTCATACCCGATGTTGTCTATTCTGACTTTGACGTTTAGGTCTCTCTTCAAGATGTTCAGGTCTTTTCCTGACCACTTCTCTGTGACTGATTGCAGCATTTTTTTCGTGAGCAGAGTACAACAACATTTCTCCTGAATTTATCCTCTTCTTTCCAGATTGAGTTCAATGGACTTCAGTGATTCTGAGAGCATTGAAGTTGTATCTTCTCATTTCCGTATCCATTTAACTGGTCCTTCCGGTCTCCCATATTGTCTGAACATTCCATGTATCTGTATTTATTGTTGCTGTGTTTGTTAGAAGGAGCATGCTCCTCATGACCTCCAAAGAATCTCAGCTTTCACCATGAGGCGTCATAGTTCTACTGAATGAAGATCCTTCAACTCGGAGGGTAGAATTTAGATTGTTTAGATTGCTTATTCTGGTTAGCTTTGTTAGCAAGGTTGTTTCCTACGGGTTGGAGTTGCTGACCGGTATAATTTTTTTAGTATGGAGATACAAAAGTACTTCACTTAAATATTCAGTATTTCAACACTGTTAAATCAATCGTACATGGAATTTTGAAGTTTGTCTATAATATTTTTTAATTCAACTATTTCCTTCTTATCTATTTGTAATCAACCATAAATTGTATGTAAACATTTTTAAAACAGATAAAAATCAGCACATCATAAATGATCTCCTTAAACAATATCAGAGTTCATATAAAACATGAATAAATTTATGTATTATTTCATCATATTGCATTTCCAGCTATTTTCACAAACAAATTTATTCCAAATTTTATAATGTGAAAATAAAATTTTCCCATCAATTGCATTGCTTGTTTTTATTTTCCCACTGATGTTTATGACTGAGATTCATCAGTTTCTTTTCCTGGCATATGTGCATCCTGTTACGATTCCCTCAATATTGCCATTAATCACATGGATTATAAGTAGAAATGGATAGTGTCTAGCAGTGGAATACAGGACGTACGTTTCATCCTATTCGGGACAACTCTGATGGATATACCTGCATTCCAGAGTTTTCACTTTTTGATTAAAAATGTTTCCTTTCACAAAACCTAGGGGCTGCAAACACTAACGAGAAATAGTTGGAATCAATTGGTATTAGCATTTTATTATATGATTTGGCAGAAATCTTTATCGATCGTCGTGTATATAAAATACTGATGTAGGGATAAATAGATGTCTTCACTTCATGTCTTAGTTTATGAGATATATATATATATATATATATATATATATATATATAT